GAGGGCTCTCGCGCTGGAGGGATCGCTTCTCTTGCCCCCCCTCTCCCCCCACTGCTCCCTTTTCTGTCTCCGAGCATCGCGGCGCAAGCATATGTGGCAGGGTTCTCGCGCTTGAGATCACCACTATATCCTCGGGCTTCCGCCTCTGGCACTGGAACGCCCACAATTTCGATTCGAATCTCGACGACGTCCGTCGGCTTCGCGATCGCAGCAAGGCCAAGGTGGAAGCGGCGCGGGGCGCGCCATGACAATCGGGTCTCCTGCTGCAGGAGGATTTCAATATTCGCGGCGGGGATCGAGACTCCGGGGCCTCTCGATATTCAGCGAGGCGGGGGATCTGGAGATAGAGCTTGGCGCTCGATCCTCAGGGTGCCCACCGAGCTTGCCGGGGATCTTCCGACGCGCTGGCACCGGGGCTCCCGCTCATGCTCGAAGGTCGACCGTTGCTTCCACGCCTCGCCCCCGCGGCTTCTGCGCCAGGGTTTCAATCCCTGCGCGACATCGGGGGGCCCGAGGAGCTGCGCGAAGGTGGAGTGCGACCGCGCGCCGGTCAGCATCGCTCTAGCCCGCCGACCTGCGCCGGCCGGGTCAAACCATCGGCCTCTACCCCTCCCGGTTCGCCTCAACTCTGACCCTCTCTTCTCCGAAATGGTCCAGGCGCACGGGGCGCAGGTCAATTTGGGGGCATTCGCGCCACCCGAGCAGCTTGGGATGGCAGTTTTATGTCGTCAGCAAGCAGGTGTTACCGCCAGGGGCCTTCAGCTCCAGGCCCATCCTCATCGCCTCGCCTCCCGAGCGATAGCGCGCAGGTCGTTCGCGCGGGTTGTCGCTCGTCAGGACGCCCGCCCCGCTCGCGTCCTTCGCCGCAAGCACCCGCGGGTCCGCGTGCATCTGCAGGTCGGCGAGGTCGAGGAAGTCGCCCTAGTCGACCCTGTTAGAGCTAGTAGTTTCCATTCGGGTCTCCAACAACAGGAGGCCACGAAACGCCGTAAACAAGTTGAGCGCGAGGCCGAAGCGGAAGTAAACTGCCATGGGGGGCGCGGCGTTACCTTCGGTAGGAAGCAGGCGGCAGGCAGGTCGTAGAGCTCAGCTGCGGAGCCCGCTTGCTCGCCGTACGTTTATAGCTTCGGTCGCGGCCGCCGACCCTGAAGACCCCCTCCCTGCGACTGCTCGTTCGGGGCAGGCTGCGCCCGTCGAGGCGATGGCCAGGCGCCGGGGGCCCGCCTTCGCGACGCCCAGCCCCATCCCGTCTTGGGGGGGCGCTGCTTGGAGCGCCGTGGATGCGGGGTGGGTCTGGACTTCTCGTCGCCCCCGCCCCCGGCGCGTCGGCCCCTGGAGAAATTCGCTCGGAGGGCGCCGAACGGCGCGCCTGGTCCCGACGGGCTCCACTTTCGCGGCTGGCGGCACGGGCGTGGTCGAAATCCTGCATGACGTCTTATGCTGGATTCTCCAAGGCCTGCCCATGCCTCTGTCCTTTTCTGCTCTCTGTCCGTCTTCTGCCCACTGCCTAGCGATGGTGAGACAGAGTGCTTGGAAGGTCCTGTGAGCGTTACGCGCGACACCCGTCTGCTTGGCTCTCAGTGCACGGCGAACAAGAGTGCAGGCGCCACCATAAACCGTGCGATCGCTCGTCGCGGCGCACAGGGTAGGAGCTGCGAGCCAGCGCGGCGTTATAGCCCGCCGTCATTTTGTCAGTCGTTTCGTGTATTTCGACAGTGCAGCTCGTCTGGCTAGCCTGAATGTTGTCACGTCTCATCCGCAGTTCCCCCCCCTCTCTCTCCTCTTCTTCGATTTCGCTCGGGCCTTGCCGTCCGCTCGCCAACATTGGACGAAAATGCGCGCGCAAGCGCGCGGGCTCCCTCGTGGATTCGCCCTTGCGGTTGAGGTTTTCACGCGGCCAACCTTTGCTACAGCGAGGTTGACCACGTGCTTCGCCTGATCAACTGGATGTTCTCAGGTGCCCTCCAGAGCCGTCCGCTCTCGGGCTCGTTTTTCGCGCTGGTTGCTAGCCCATGTCTAGACGATGCGCTTCAGAACATCGATCGCAAACGACGAGGATGCACCGGAGCCTGCGCCGAAGATGCGGGGCGGCGATTTGGCGGCGGAGGGGGCGTGCGGCGCTAGCTCGGGCGTTCCGCCTTGCATCGATGCTCGCGAGTTTAACCCAGAAGGTGCCAAATCGCATAGCTAGTCCCGTTGGAGCTCCGATGTCGGATCCCGGCGCTGCAGCCGCGGTGCGCTCGGTCCTCTGCGGGGCTGAATCGGTTTAATATGCCCAGAGGCCTCCCGCACCCAGGACTTAGGCGTCCGTCTTGGACCAGGCAGCACCATGCGGCATGCGAGAGCAATGGGCAGCCCCCATTGCCAAGCTGGAAGAGCGCGCGATATTGATTGCTGCGGCAGGCGCTCCGTTCTCGAAGAGTGCATCCCGCTATCTCGAGCGTGGGCTTCCTGCGCTGGGATGCAAAGCCCAGCGCGTTCCGCTCCCGCGGCAGCTCGCGGCATCCGAGCGCCATATGTTTGACCGAGCGGCAGCATGGGGCGCGGCGAGCGGCCGCAGCTTGTCGAGTGGGGCGGCCCGATGTTGACAAGCGCCGTGTCTCTCTGCACTGCATCCCTCATGCGTTCGGCTCTCCTCGAACACGCGGCAACTTCAGGTTGCGAGGCATCGTCGTGCAATCGTTGATCGACGACCTGCCGCGTGGTCGGATGGGGACGAGCTCGCCCCCCTCGCCTGGACCTGAGCACGCCTCCACGGGGCCCACTGCCCCCTCGAGCGCCGCCGTGGCAGGCGTCCATCGTTGGGCTGCCAGACCGACGGGTGCGGCTCGAAGGTGCGCCCTGGCCCTGCAGCGAGGAGGAATGGAGGCGCTCGGGTCTTGTCGAGCAAGCGCCCCTGCGGGAGAGCGTCGGCGCCCGCGGTGGCAGGGCGTGTCCGAGGGAATTTGTGCAGGATCAGGACCAGAGCTCGTAAGCACTTCAATCCGTCTTCTGAGTTTGAAGGTGTGGAGGAGCTGCAGGCGCCATTGAGTGTCGCCCCGATGGCGTGGAGCTGGATCGCGCTTCGCAGCTGGGTGGGGTGCTGGATTTCGAATGAACGAATGCCGAGGCCGTTCCACACGTGTGTTTTCGGGTGCCCGAGTGCTCCTGATGCCATCTCACAGTATGTTCTCGATTGCATCCGCATCCAAGGGGTTTCCTCGATGCCCATTCATCCCCGTCTCCCTTCGGATCCCCTCTTCGCCCTCATCTTCCGTGGAGGCTCACCTGCGTTAACCGTTTCATCATATCTCGCCTACCGAATTGCTGCTCATCAGTCGTCGTTGCCTCTCTCGGTCGTCCAAGCTGCAGGGTTCATCGGCGCTGTCCGCCTCGCCATTCGCCCACCGACAAAAGGCAGGCAGCGGGATCTCTCGAGACGCGCGCACCTCGGCAATATCGCGGCGTAGGCGCGCGGGAAGGGCGTGGGCGGGCATGCGAGCAGGAACGGAGTCGCCTCCACCTCCTCCTCTTCCTCTTCCTCCTCCACCTCCCCCTGTGTGCCTCCTCCTCTTCCTGTTCCTTGTCCTCCTCATTCTCCTCTCGCTCTTCAGGCTCCTCCTCGCGGTCGTTCTCGCAGACCCTGCTCGCGAGAGGGTTTGCCAGCATCTCGAACGAATGGCTTCCCGTTGTAGTTTTGCTCGTAGTCGCGGTTGCAATCGCGATTGCAATCGCGATCATAGCCGCGATGGCAATCGTAATCGTCGTCGTGGTTGCAGCCGCAGTCTTAATCGTAGTCATCGTTGTTGCCGCGGCGGGAATGTGTTACCCTTTTACTGTTGGGCGGGCCCGAAATTGGTGGATGTCAATCGTTTCCTGGGGCTGTGGGCTACCTTGCACGCGAGAGGAATTGCGCGCGACCTCTCATGAGGAACGCAACGGGGACCAGCGGGTGCGGTTCTCGTTGTGATTGTTTACACCGTTGTAATCGCGATTGCAATCGTAAGTGCAGTCGCGATTGTAGTCGTATTGGTAGTCGTCGTCGCCGCCGCGTATATCAGTTTCCTTCTGTGGTTGGGTGGGCCCGGTAGTGGTGGAGGTCGATCGCCCCCACGGAATACTCCATTGTGGGCTACCCGACACGCGAAAGGATTTGCGAGCACCTTGTCACGATGATTGCAATAGGAACCAGTGGTTGCGGTTGCAGTCGTGACTGCTGGCGTAGTTCTTATCGCGATTGCAGTCGCGATTGCAGTTGTAATCGTAGTCGTTGTTGTAGTTGCAATCGTCGTCGCAATCGTCGTCGTCGTTGTCGCGACGGATGTTATTCGTCTCTCGATTGTTGGGTGGGCTGGGTCAGCTGCGGGGGCTCGCCCTCCCAGGGAAAATCCATGTTGGGCTACCGTGCAAGCAAGAGTATTGTGAGCATCTTTTCACGACCAGCGCAATAGGAACCAGTGGTTGTCGTGATTGCAGTCGTGTTTGTAACCGTGATTGTAATCGTGGTTGCGGTCGCGATCGTAACCGTAATCGCATTTTCGGCGGTTGTACTCGCAATCGTAGTTGCGGTTCGTATCGTGGCCGTAGTCGTAATCGTGGTCGTGTTCGTAGTCATCATCGTCGTTGAAGCGGGGCGGCTGCCGCGGGAAACAAATATTTTCTGTTATTGGTGGGACCCCAGTTCGTCAAGAAGGGTGTCGAGATGACAAGTCGTGTTTCACTGTGGGTGTGTGTGTGTGTAAAGACACTTGCCAGTCAAGGTCTAGCAGACATTGCCTTGGTACCCACTCGGGTTAGATAGTTTTTACTAGTCCGCCAAATTTGGCGTACCCCGACACGGGATTGTCCATCGGGGTCCAGACCCGCACATGTTCGAGGGAATACGCGCGTTGTTGCCGGCATCGTGCTTGTTTCAAGCATGAGAGAGACAGAGAGGCAGAGAGAGAAAGAGAAAGAGGGGAGAAAAAAGGGGGCGGGGGAGATAGAAGGATTGTATTTGTTTTCCAGCCCTCCATGACGAGGACGACCTGCAGAACGTGGAGGGCAAGTCGACGGTAGTGCTGAGGAGGGGCATCCGCACGCTCCACTTCTGTCCGCGAGCGTTGATCCCTGGCAGGATACTGTCGAAACCCATGGTAAGGAGGGGTAACATTCCTAAGGGTACCCTTGTATCCGTGCCTTTGTGGCCCATGTTTGACTATCTTCCATGGCCCACCGCGTTCGAAAAAACTTCGACATGGGCACCCAAGGCGCTTGAACCCTTAGCGCGCATCCTTGTTATCAGTGCTGATTGCAGTGACGACGGTGAGGATGAGGGAGAAGGACGAGGTCTCACGAAGAGCGAGGGCCCCTGGCCCCGCCCACATACTGCGATCTTCGGGGATCGAAGACCGAGGTTGGGGAGATGTTTTTCTTTCGGCAAAGGAAAGGTACCCATACAGCTACCCCTCCCTCGCTTTCCCCTTTGTACCTGCTCGGGTGCCCTCGTCTCCACCGCTGGATTTTCCTCGAAATTCTGGTCAGAACGTGCCCCGAGAGAGGTCCGAGGAGTAGCGGTATCGGTACCTTTTGGTTCCTCCATTTTTGGCTATCCGGATGCCCCTGGAGCCTTTGGAGCCCGTGGAAGCCTCAGTCTTCAGCATTGTCCTCATGCTCCGCGTTATGGTCGTCCTGAGCCGTCCTCTTCATCATCCCATGACAGCGTCCAGGCAGCGTGAGCAGAGGACGGTGGGCGTTTTGACCTGCATCGGGCCCCGGGACCCTCGAGGACCAGTCAGTCTGGCCCAATCTTGAAGGGTTGGTCCGTGCCGCGCTGGCACGGCGGCGACCCCATCTCGGGCTGTCAAGGTTGACTGCCGCCGGTGTTCCAAGATCGGCCGACGTTCGGCGATCTGCGCCGTCGGCAAGTTGCACAGTTGGAGGTACCTGTGCGGTGTAAGAAACGAACGCCAACGTTGTCACGACGTGAAGCCGCCGCGCGCAGATGGTTGACGTGAGCTCTGGTTGCGTTTTCCCGGGGCGTCGCGACTCTTGGGATGGCCCTGCGGCTGGTGCCGCCGATCCTGAGGGGGGACGACGGCGACGACAACGGCGGCGGCGACGACGCTGACGTTGGGCAGAGTCTTCAGGGATGCTCTGTGGGGCCTTTTCGGAGGGCGCTCGTAGACCTCTGGTGGGCAGTTTGGGGGCCTTTTGGGAGCGTTTTGGAGGCCTGGGAGCCGCTTGGGGGTCTCTTCGGGCTTCCTGGGGACCTCTTGGGGCCTCATGGTATGAACTGATCAAAGCCCCCGAGGTCTTGGATAGCAGCAGTAAGAATGAAAAGCCAGAAGAACATCGATAATATCTTCACACCGCTGGCGCGCTAGACTCAAGGGCCCTAAAGGGTTTGGGCCAACAAATAACGGCACGCTCGCTATGCTACAGTCATGCTCTGCACAATAACGCAAGATATACAACGTATGTATCACACCCGTGAAAGAGTACATTACCCTGGCGACGTACCCAACCCTTGCGCGATGCGGGGCATAAATACACCAGGATTGCTCCAACGGGGGCGATGACGTAACATGGACGCATGTGATTTTGCGAGCAGCAATCGGAAGGCTCGCAGGCCCCCGATCAAGATCTCAGGGCCACGTAATAACAAATGCCAATGCCATGCGCCCGTTGCGCCTAACGTATCACACAGCAGTTCTTGAGAGCCCCCACGGGATACGTGTAGGCGCAACGTTATGGCCATCGCCCGGCAGATGGTCTGTTTCACAAATCACCCCCGTTGGCTGTGCCATGCGCCCGTTGCGCCTAACGTATTCCACAGCAGCTCTCCAGAGCCCCCCCAGGGACGGCGAGATCTCGCTCAGATCCCCGCGGCGCCTCACTCCGCAGGGCCCACCAGCAGCCCTCGAAAGTGGCGACAGCGTCGCAGATCGCAGCCCCCCAGGGACGGCGAGGTTTCGCTCAGATCCCCGCGGTGCCTTACTCCGCAGGACCCACCAGCAGCCCTCGAAAGTGGCGACAGTGTCGCAGATCGAATCTGCCCAGGGAAGGCGAGGTCTCGCTCAGATCCCAGCGGTGACCCACCAGCAGCCCTCGAAAGTGGCGACCGTGTCGCAGATCGCAGCTCCCCAGGGACGGCGAGGTCCCGCTCAGATCCCCGCGGCGCCTCACTCCGAAGGACCCACCAGCAGCCCTCGAAAGTGGCGACAGCGTCGCAGATCGAAGCCCACCAGGGAAGGCGACGTTTCGCTCAGATCCCCGCGGTGCCTTACTCCGCAGGACCCGCCAGCAGCCCTCGAAAGTGGCGACAGTGTCGCAGGTCGCAGCCCCCCAGGGACGGCGAGGTCTCGCTCAGATCCCCGCGGTGCGTTTTTCCGCAGGACCCACCAGCAGCCCTCGAAAGTGGCGACAGCGTCGCAGATCGCAGCCCCCCAGGGACGGCGAGGTCCCGCTCAGATCCCCGCGGTGCTTTACTCCGCAGGATTTACCAGCAGCCCTCGAAAGTGGCGACGGCGTCGCAGACCGCAGCTCCCCAGGGAAGGCAAGGTCCCGCTCAGATCCCCGCGGTGCCCCACTCCTCAGGACCCGCCAGCAGCCCCCGGAAGTGGCGACAGTGTCGCAGATCGCAGCCCCCCCAGGGACGGCGAGGTCTCGCTCGGATCCCCGCGGTGCCTCACTTCGCAGGACCCACCAGCAGCCCTCGAAAGTGGCGACCGTGTCGCAGATCGCAGCTCCCCAGGGACGGCGAGGTCCCGCTCAGATCCCCGCGGTGCCTCACTTCGCAGGGCCCACCAGCAGCCCTCGAAAGTGGCGACAGCGTCGCAGATCGCAGCCCCCCACGGACGGCGAGGTCTCGCTCGGATCCCCGCGGTGCTTCACTCCGCAGGACCCGCCAGCAGCCCTCGAAAGTGGCGACAGCGTCGCAGATCGCAGCCCCCCAGGGATGGCGAGGTCCGCACAACGCAAGAGGAGACAAGAGGGGAGCGGGAGACGGGAGGCGGTAGGAGGACCAGGAGGAGGATTGGAGACCGCAGTGCTCGATTCAAAACGAATACCCAACCAGGGAGGTTTGTGGAAAAAAGAACAGGGAGAAGCCCTCCCTTCAATATGACATGTGAAATCTGAAACCCCACATACATTCATCTTAAACATGTTCTCTACACAAACTGCATAATATTGCACAAACCAACTGCGTAAAGTTGAGATACAAAACCTGCATGCACATGAAATGCAAACCTGCGTCCGCAAGGGGAGTATGAAGTGCATAACTAGTATGAAGTGTATGACTGGCAATAAAGCTGAACGTGCAACAATTATCTGAAGCTGCGCCGGTGCGTTGGCTCACTCACTGCAGCCCGTGGAGCTGTCGTCTGCTGCCCGATCGTAGCCGTCCTGTCACTGTTTGGGTTCAGTCGTCTCCACTGAAACTTCGCCTGCTCGCTTAGATCCGTTCATCTTGTGACATAATCGCCGCTGCTCTCCCTGCAGCCGGTAAGTCGCCATACTCTGCGCCGACCGTCCGCCGTCGCACTTGCTTGTGGTTGCTGCTCGTCTTCTTGAGGTGGATGGTCGTCTCCTTGTCGGTGCTGGTCGTCGCTGTCTCCTCTGCCGTCTCATGCTTGCTGCTGGTTTCGGTCTGATACTTCACATTGGAGTCGTCTTGATGCTCCATAAATTCTCGCACTATCTAGTAGACTGCTGGAACTGCCACTGCCATTCCAATCATAGTAAACGATAATGCATCCCAGGTGCCTCCAGAAAACCACGAGCACTTCGCGATCTCGCCATAGTAGTACTTGCACTCTGTGTGGTAGTCGACCTCTGGAGTGTAGGTTGCCGCTGACTTGCAACAACACGTCGCAAATATTGCCAACTGCATGAGTGGTGATCTCGCCTTCATAGTTAATGACATCTCCATCTTACTCTTCTTAATGATCTCCTGTCGCTCCTCCTTGGTATTCTTCTTGGCTGTCGTATAGGTCGGGTCATGCTGTAGCTGAAGTCGTCCAGCTCGAAGTCTGTCTGCGAAGAGTTGCCTTGCAGCTAACTTCGTGAGACCATCCGCATATTGCCGCTCTGGTGAGACCCTTTTCTATTGCGTCTGTGTAGCATCCATCCGTTTTCGTAGTGCTAACAACCCGATGCCGGTGCGCTTGTCCTGGAAGTTGGTGATGTTCTATTTCTTGGTTGCGTCGTAGAGCGCCTTCGCATCGATCACGAGTGCTGACTCGTCTGCGTAGTGCTTGCTCTCGTCAATGTTGACGTTCACGTTGCCGTAGATGGGGGCTGCCCAGAATCGCTTCGCAAATTCTAGTGCGTCCATGCCTGCTGCCGCTGCTTGGGATTCTGCATGTAGTGATGACCTGGCTAGTCTCATCAACTTGAGAGACTTCCAATCAACAGCGCAGAAATCTGAATCCTCGCCGCCAAGTAGTTTCCAGTGACATGCCATAGTCACATATCCTCTTTGACTAGATCCGTCTTGTCGCACTCCTCAAGCTGCGTCCGTCATCGCTACGAGCGCGATGTCGCTGACCTTGCCAATATTCTTCATCTTGAGACCGACGTCCGCGTTCTGCTTGTAGAACCTTAGCGTCTTATTTACCTCTCTTGCTGTCGCCGCCGTCGCCGTTGGAAGCTGCCCTTGGTGAATGCTGACCGTTGCTGACGTATGTGGGCAGGCATGCTTGCGAACTTGGCCACTGTAGAGCTCCAAGCTCCAAGTAGTCCTCGAAGTTGGCGTATCTCCTTTTGGCGTGAGTATTCGGTCGTTGTTGCCGTCCCTCTGATCAATCGTGATCGGCTTGAGGTTGGAGGCGTAGGACTGAATCTTGATGTTGACCTCAGTGCCGTTGGAGTGCTTGTTGTCCCAGTGAGTGGTCTGGTGTGGATCCGATCCGCAATAGTCCTTTGTGTCCTCCTCCATCCACTTCCGAAACTTGAACTTGATCTTGACTGCCTCGATGCTGTTGCTGTAGTTGCTGCCGGGCTTGCGATCTCCTCCGAGCATGTCGTCTACGTAGAGTAGGATAAACCCGTCGCAGTTGCCGTCCTTGTCGTAGCTAACGA